TTATTTTCGTCGGTGACGATCGGTGGGGCATTATCTTGGTCGAATCATCTCATTATACAACCGTTGACTAAGAAACAGTTTTTCCTTACAAATTTAGTGGTATAGTATTTTTTTCTGTATTCACTTACCAAAAAATATGCAGAAAAGTCATGTTTTCTATTAATTGTATTGAATGAAGAGAAGAATAGTTGGGGTGGTCAGTCAAAAAAGAAGGCAAAAATAAATGATAATATTTATTTTTACATATGCCGACGTTTTGACCTGAAGTTCAGGCCATTTTTGACTGATCACCCCAACTATTCTTCATTATCTACGACAGTCAACCATTTACCAGTTATGAATTGTATTAAATGTTTTTTTGTAATAAAACTAAAATTCTTGAAGTTTATTAATATAAAAAATATATATTTTCTATTGAAAGTGAGGTGGTAAGTACAACTTGTGCGTGAAGATTTGAACTAGATAGTTTTTTTTTTTTCTTTCAAATCGTGATTTAACTTCTTTTTTTTTTTAATAAAATCATTCACTACATAAAATTAAATTATTATAATAAGATCATAAAGCGGTTTTGTTACAGTAGTTGAGTAAAATATTCCCACCAAAGAACAATGGTCAAATGGTCGGGTATGAAAACATCAGGCTGTTGTTGCAAAAGTTTATCAAAACTCACCCTGTCCTTTGCTAATAACCGCGTGAAACTAAGTCAGTAGTGACTACATGTGATGGAGTTGATGAACGCTACATGACTATGCATTATAAACTTTCAACAGCTCGCTTACGATATATGTTATCTGATATAACTATAAACCGGATTTTCATGTTATTGCAAATTTTATTCAGTTGTTTATGAAAAAATCATACTCGATTATCTACTCGTTTCCCGATCTGTAGCTAAAGTTTTTTTATTTATTATCATTAAATTTTAATCTGCACCTGTCGACAACTGTTGACAATCAGCAGATGATATAATAAAAGTAATGAAAGTGACATGTCAGGGGTAAGGAAAGCACTCATCACTACCTCTTCCCTGGTTTGAATCAATTATCATGGTTCGTCAAGGAAGGAGGTCTCTCGTCCAGCGCCTTTTTAGTCTCCTCATCATATTCATGGGTGTCAGCTGAAGCCATACCTCTGATTAGTATGTTAGTATGTCCGTGTAAATTATTGTAAAATCGTTTGCTATAGTTGTTATGTGTTGGTCAACTGTAGACAGAAGTAAATCTGTATGTAATGTTTCGTTTGTCACGTATCAAGGTGCTTTAGTTATAATTCGTAATATTTTTTATGTCTTTTTAGTTGTACCATTTTTCTGTGAGGATTAGTGTTGCCCAAAATCGGTCTTGGTCTTTCACTTTGCAAAACCAAGACCAAGGCCACCTAATTGCTGCAAGACCAAGACCAGGACTGGTAAAAAAAAAATCGATTTTTAAATAAAAATTAAGGCAAAATAGTTAACTAATACTTGACAATCTTAGTTACTGTATGTTAATAATTGGTATAACAAATATAATTTTGCCTTTAACTCTTCTAATTTTTCATTCGGGCATAGTTAGGTTTCTCCTATCTAAAAAATTACAGTAATATGTCTATAATAATGAGCTAATAATTAACTGCAAGACTGTTGCGAGACTCTTGCGCAAGACCAAGACTATGACCAAGACTGAGTTAGAAAGACCAAGACTCGTTTCGGTCTCGCATTTGGGCAACACTAGTGAGGAGTAAGTCAATATAGGTTTAAGTAAGTATAGGTATGTATTTAGTTATTGTCTCAGTGCAAGTTTTTAAGATTTGGAAAAAAGTGAGTAAAGTAGTTAACATGTCGGCTCCATGTCATGCTTCTGTTTAAAGTAAGACCAAGGTAGTGTACGGTGTCTGTCTGAGGAATTAACTTTTTTCGATACAAATTGGAGGGTAGGAATTTTTTCGAAGTGTAAATGTAACGTGTTTCGATTTATCGTCGTTTAGTCGAATTTTTCATGATTTATATCAGTCTTTTAATTTATCTAAATGATGTTGTAACATCGGCGAGGCTTGTGTATCAGTATTATTGTCAGTGAGAATACCCTTTAAATTTAATATTGTATTTTTTATATTTTTTAATATTTTTGTATGGCATGAATGAGCTACTCTATATCACTATTACTATTGTCCTTGAATGTGACAGTTTGTAATATCTCAATAAAAAAAATATATAATTAAAAAAAGAATAATAATAAAAAAAAAATTAAACGAAATGACACGTTTTTTTCTGTTTTTGTACTAAATTGTACGTTTTTTATTTTTGTTACATTGAGTTTGCACACATTACACTTTAAGTATTTGATAAGATGACATTGATAGATAGATAGAAAATTTCGATCTATTTCTTGGACAAAGTTTCTTGAGAATAACAAAATAGTACCAAATTTAAGGATTACATCTCGCTTATATACAAACAATTAAAAAGAAAAAAAGTTAATTAAAGGTTAATAATCTACATAAAAAACACTTAAAACTATGTACATTGATAAAACAGTATAAATATATACTTTTAAATAAAAAATTATACATTTTAGATTCTTCTTTAAATTAAGTTCTAGGTTTCTGCTAATAAAAAAAGTAAGCCGAATCTGACAATATAAAATGTACAAATATTTAAATAATAGGGACAAAAATCCCAATACCACCAACAATCCAAAACGAATAACCACCAAAAACGAATAAGGTCTTTCTTCAAAACGAATAAATCTTTCCCCTTTTAAATACTAAATATTATGTAAATACATTATGATCATTTCTTCACGTGACTATGGGTAAGAATTTAATTATATAAAAAGTATTGGTGCGCGCATCACAAAACTTTCACCTATCAGTCTGTTTCTGAGGTCTCCTAGTCTTAATCCTTTGTTGATGCGGAAGCCACTAGACTTTTTTTTTTTTTTTACTTTCCCTTGTTTTCCTTCCAAGATTGTAAGCAATAAGCATATCAGTTTTTTTCCGGGATAGCCACCATTCTCATGGCCTAATACAACTCGCCTCAGTCTACAATATCGTATATTTGAGGAGCTTAAGATGTGTGAAAAAATGAGAAAAAAAACTCTAAAAAAACTTTTACATAGCTATTTTAATTTATATACGGATTGCACTTTATAAGTACCTCAATTTTTATAGTTTTCTAATGTCTAGAACAATCATATATGCCGAAATTAATCTAAGGAGACTCTGGTAGTACTTAAGTGCAGAGAGGAATTTTGTTTTGTAAATTATTTTATTATATACAGTTGTCAAACTCCAATAAATCCCATCGAATTACCTTTACTCTTCGTCGTAAGCCTATGACTTCCTGTCCTACAGTATCGTTTAACAATACCCCACTTATCTCTTTTGACCAAATCCGATATCTAGGACCCCACCTTGACAAACGACTCACTTGGAACACCCAATATCAGACTGAGACGACTAGAAACCGCCCGACGTTTCCGACTACTCCAACACTTACTAGACAAACGCTCTAAACTGCCAACTATTTACAAAAGACTCATATATATTACTATAATAAGGCCTATTTGGACTTACGGGATCGAGCTTTGGGGCTCTACTAAACCATCAAATTCCACTCGTATCCAATCCCTACAATCCAAAATCCTTCGTAAAATCCTTAATGCTCCCTACTTTGTCACAAATAAAATCATCCATAATGACCTTAATGTACCATATGTTTTCGATTTAGCTCAGTCCAGATACCTGTCCTTTCATAATAAACTTCTGAACCATCCGAACCCTCTCGTTTCCAACCTTGCTTCCTCTTCTTTTCCTGAGAACCCTCCGAGGCGTCTGAAAAGAAGATGGCCTCGGGACCTTCTAATATAGAAATATAATTGGAGTGCTACCAATGGGTAGTTTCTCTTCATGTCATATTACTTGTTCATATTAACTTGTTGAATTTATAATTAATTACAGATGTAAATTTCGTTAATAAATAAAAAAAAAAATATATACTGTTGTTGACATAGAAATTGCATAATTTATTTCTTTTGATTTTTATGTCGATTCCATTATAAGTTTTTGTTTTTATTTGTATATTTGGGTTACTAGAAAATTTACTAGAAAAAATATTTCTCAGTTCAGTTTTAGATAATACCTGGGTAAAATTTGTAATTAGGAACGGTTTAAAAAACTGCCCTCGTCAGAAAAATATTAAAATTGTGACTTTATATTAAGTGATGGAATTTTTACCGAAAATTAAGCGTAGTAGATCATATTTGTTTTCTTTTATTATTAATAGTTATCAATTTTTAAAGTTTACATAATCGTACACTTATCAGTAGCAGTAGATAGTGCAGTCACGTGGTCATATTCTCAGAATGCGGAACCGAATTATCATATCGATAGGAGACTGCATCTGATAACAATATAATCGATTAGGGAAAAGATGCAGTTGACTATTATAGAACAACGGAGTTGCATAAAAAGAGCTGATGTTGATAAAATCTTTTATAACGTCAATTATTGATAGTGAGATTAAAAATTACGAAATAGCATAATATAATGAACATATTAGAGTAAGTCGTTCTATTTGATCTAGTGTTTCATTTTATACAATCCAGTGTATTTATATATATATTCTTTTTAACCGTAGGTGTTTTATAAGGTTTAATTACATTTCCACCGCATCGTGTTCAAAGTTATCATCAGACTATCCAATCAAGTCACTGCGTTAAAAGGTTTTATTTTCGCTTTAATATGTCATTCCCTTTTTGATCTTTATGTAAATAAACCATGAGATGAATGGTATACATTAGATTTAAAAGAACGATGAATCAGTTAAGATTATTAAAACACACAAATAAACACACACACACACACACACACACACACACACATATATATATATATATATATATATATATATATATATATATAACTTAAGAAATCAATTATAGTCGGATAATAGGTCATGAAATACATTTAAATAAGTTAAAACAACTTCTGTTTAATCTTAAAGGATGTCCTGGATGTCCTTATGGCCGTACTGTTGGGTCTGTCAGCGTGCTGCCCGGCTTGTGATATCGAAGCTCAATTAAAAAATCCTGAAGAGGATATCATTATTTTAAAAAACAGAGATCACAACGTTTGACTAAAAATAATAAACAGAAGTTATTTTAACTTATGTAAGTGTTCTTTATGACCTATTATCCGATTATAATTGATTGATATTTTAAGTTATAATATATAAATTATAATTCATTGAGATTTATAGGCATCGACGCAGACTTTCCATTTTAATTGGGTGGGCTCCCAAAAAAGTCTCGGATATTTATATGATGTATGAAAATTATGAGTATGAATTAAGATAATAAACATAATTATTTTTAAAATGAACAACATAATACGAAATATCAGAATAAATTTATGTATACCTTCATATACTAGTTTTTTTTTTACGTATAGATTGATAATATATTAACAAAGTAATTGAGTATAGTACACATTTTTATCATTATTTAAAGGTTTGAAGCAGTAAGATGAATTTTTGATTCTCGGATGCTTCAAATTTTCCGTGAGAAATCTATTTTAAATTAAATCACCACATAAAAACGTGAAGAGTACACATGAATCAATAATAAAATCCTTTGATATGTTGATACATATGATTTACCTTTGGATAAAAACTTAAATTTTAATAATAGAAAAAAAGGACGTGGTGTTTGTTATACTTGCTCACCTACTTCTGGGCCTTAGCTTAGCTAAGTAGTCCATTTTTCCTATTTACTTAGTTGATTTAAGTTTACATATTTTATTAATTCGTGTAGATTAATTTTTATTGATTTTGATTTTCGAAAAATTTAGGAGGTGAAGGCTACCCCTCTATTTAGAGCGGGCGACAGCCCACCGCTCCCTTTTGTCTGTGCAAATATTTATAAACACGTTTTAGGCCAAAGTGTTCTGAAACGTAAATATCTATTACAAAATATGATTTCTTTACCTACAAGTGGATAGAAAGTAAAAAAAAAAAAAAAAATGGTTTTTTCTTTTTTGAAGGATTATACTCCTAAACCTAAACATAATTTGTATTATAGTTATTTTTTTTCTGTTGTCATTACAGAACTTGTTCATATTGTGCCACCTAAACAAGCCTACACCATATCTGCCTTCCTTGGTCTATTTATTTTCAGTTATCCGAATGCAGCAATTTTGTTGATTCGATCAATCATATCCTTTTTGGTTTTCCACTAGGCGTTTGACCTTCTATATTTTAGATTTTCCCTAGCTAAATGTTACCCATCTTAACCTCCATGCCTTCAAACCATAAGATATTGATTTTTTTTTGGATTTCAATAGCTTTGGAAGGGTGAAAAAAACTCTGTTTGAGCTATTTATACTACTGAATATTTCCGACCGTTGGTAATTCATTGTGTAGTCGATTTTTTCAACTCTTGGGAATGATTTACCATTTACGCTGATCATGTTATCAGAGTGGAATTTTCGGCTTGTTATCACATATTTTAATTTGTCTTCATATACTTGTAGGCCAATCTGTTCTGTTTTTTTTTTTTTTTTGTTTTTTTTTTAACAGAGTCTTCAGGAATTTCTCGAACTCCTCATGATTACTTCCAAGGGCATCTATATCATCTCCATATTCAAATATTTTATGATTAATTTTGAAGTAACCCTGTGATTTGTTGTTATCACCTTTCCCAGTGCTAAGTTGAAGAACATTGGTGATAGTACATCCCGTTCAAAATTTGAAGGCTTCACATCCTTCTCCTTGTATTAGAACTCAACATTTAGGTTATAATAAATTATATCATTATAATAATAATTAATTCCCATAATAGAAACTTGACCAACTTAACGTAGACCACGCTATCTCTCAGGAAATGAAGAACATAGTCTATATCGCAATTCTAGACTGTTCAATTTGCATATATGAATTAATGAGGGAGATACTGCGGCGCTGGGAATTTTAATGTGTCTTTTTTATCCATAAAAGATTTCTCATATGATGATAAATATTCCAAATATTCTCTATAAGTTAATTTGTTCTTCATCTATAATTTATGTTAAACGTTTAATAAGAATACTAGTAAGTAGTTCCAAAATAAAAACTGAAATTAAAATAACTACGGTGCTAAAATAACTAAATTAAAAATAATATGGAAATAAAAAAATAAGTTTATTTTTAATATGGTCGAGCCGCACAGCTTCCTCATTATTATTATTTAGTATATAATCACTTATATTTTAAAGCATATGTTTTGAGTCATTTATTTCTAAAATGAATCCCAATCATCATTAAAAACTATCATTGAAGCTAAAATTGAATTTTCTATAACAATTCTATTATCAAAAGTAATATTTAAAAAAAAAATGTATATATATATATATATATATATATATATATATATATATATATATAAGTTAACAACAGTGATGTAGGGCCTCCACATTATGAATATTTTTTATATGTAATAGTCAATAGTCATATTGAAGAATAATAGATGTCCTGGTCTAGATAGATAGTATAGATGCAGAGATGGTAAATAATTGCGGAGAGCCTTTGTTAAGAGAGATCTACAACCTAATGATGAAAGTCTGGATAAAAGAACAAATGCTTAACGAATGGACTACTGCCCTGTTTAAAAAAAAAAATAGGAGAAAAACAAACTGTGACAATTATAACTTTACGGAATTTCCTAAAAAACAAAAAAAAATTGTTAAAATCGGACAATTAGGAGCGAAGATATGGCCTCTAGTTTTTTTTTTATATATATGTTCCACATCAAAGGTTATATCCTTTGTTTCAGATTTTGAATTTCGAATGTGTTACTGAAGTAATGCTATTTTTTTTTTAGCATATTACGAATGATTATAAAAAAAAAAGTTTAGTCCAATAATTGGAATCATCTTTTATTTATTTTTCTTTGTAACTAGGAAGGTAATGTTACTTTAGATGTATAATTGCTTGGAAATAATAATGCAAATAATTTGCAGCGTTTTTAATATTTAAAGTAGGTTTAAAGGTTTTGTATGTGCTCTTTAAAAATATTTAATCACAATTACAATCGCTAGAGTTCAGGGTTGAAAACATTTTATATTCGACAGTCTGCATTTGTTTCGACGATATGATCGATAGTGTACTTCCTGATTTTTAGCAATTAATAAAAGATATATTCCATTGTAAAAAAATACCATAAACAGGGAATAGAACTCAACAGTGAAGATAGGAAATACCGAAATTTAAAAAAAAAAAAAACATCGCATTATCTCTAGTAATAGTGCTTTGCATTGAGTTTGATTTCGATGAAACTTCCTTAATTTTTTAGGAAATTTAAATACCTTTGAAACATCTTCTCACAATATCGACATAAAAGTGCATACTTTTTGAGTTATTCGGAATTTAATTTTACCATCCCTCGTAATTTTTTTTCCAGCTTCTTTTTGTTGAAGTATGGTATATAGATAAATTTAAAGGGGGTCGAGAAAATGACTTGAGCCAAGTTTCACTGAAATCGGTGCATCCGTTTAGGCGCTACAGTCGATAATTGCTACGCAGGTTTTTCGGGAGCAATTTTGAAAGTAGATAGTAATGTCGATGAAGGAGGACCATCCTCGGGTGACCTCTGATTTTATATCCAAATTTGAAAATAGTCGGTCCAGTAGTTTCGGATAAAATGCGCGGACGGCGGACCGACAAAAAAATTTTTTATTTGTTTTTTCGAATTCTACGTATCCTGAAACGTCAAACTTCAAATTTTGAGAGGGGTTCAAGTTTTTGAATTTTTCGGTCGATCACAATGGTTCATTATTGAAAATAATAAACCAAAAATAAAACAGATAATAACAATAAGTTGAAAATATTATTGTTGGTTATAGTGTTATTGTTGATTCTAAAATTACTTAAGTTTAATCCAGTTCCTCAATGAAGTCTTGTTATTTTTTTAAGCTCGGTTTTTTTAGGAACTTTAATATGCGCAATGGTACGTTGTGAAGAAATGTGTGAATTTTCGAAATTATGACATAGAAAATCTTTTATGTTTTAGAGGCAAACCCGTGTCATATTTTATTTTGTTTGGAAATTATTTTAATGAAATTTTCATTGTTTATCTGGTATATTGAGAATTTTATTTCAATTAGAAAAAGCTTAAAAAGCTAATAACTAACAATTTTTGATAATATTATTTTTAAAGAAACAATTAGTAAGCGCAATTCAAAATTCAATAGAGATATTATTAAATATAATGATAAAATTATTAATATTATAAATTGAATATAATTTTATCGTGTAGGTAAGATGATAACATCCCTTCAAGTCGATCGGCTCTTAATTTATATCTCTCATAGAAGCTTGTGAGTCCTTCTTAAATTCAATAATTCCGTTACATGCCACTGCATTTTATAAGGATATATTTATTGTTTATACATCTTATGTATTTTATTGGTATATTTTCTGTTGAAGTCTAAAATACCGAAACGTTTGTATATATATACATAAGATATATAAACAATAAATATATCCTTATAATATATATATGCATGTAGGTATGTATGTTCAAGGAGGTTTATTATTAGTATTTTCATTCCTGACTGCTTCCTTAAACCAACTCATATACTATATCTCCGCTTTCCTTAATCTCCACAATTATCATCTTTTTCAAATTTAAAAAGTGTATTCTTTTAAGTATCCATTCAATAGTCTTATTTAAAAAAAAAAAAAAAACTATATTAAATAAGTTGTCATCAAAAAGGATTCGTGACTTTCAACGGAAAAGTAAATATTTAAATTTAAAAAAAAAAATAGTTTCACTGTTATAAAAAACAAAGGGAATTCTTGAAAGATCGTACTTTTACAAGCATGCTTTCAAAAATTTATAAATACCTCGAATCTTCCTTAAAATGTTAAAACATTTTAATGGAAACGGCTCAAATAGGTAACGTTTTACAAACCTTAAAGATCTTTTTAAATTTTAGAATTTTATTTTTCATTGGTATGTTGCAGAAATCATATGTGTAATATGTTTTTTTTTTTTTATTCTATAGTAAGAATTCATAAATTTATCAAAATATTAGGGTTGTTGTATCATTTTTCATGTACTGAATTTTGGTAAATATATCACATCAAATTGGCAACATATATCAAATATATTCTTTTATTTTTAAAAATTGTCTTTAATCTGAAATCATGGAATATTTATTGTTAATTCCTATATATATGTAGCTAGATCCGTTTAAAATTTAGTCAGTTGATATTTTTTGGTGTCACTTAATTTCCTGACAGTTTCATTACTAGTACTTTGTACTAATACAATGTATAATATATTTTGCTTTTAAATTGTAAAATAAGAACGCATACATTTATTTTTGAAAATAGTATGGATGATGTATAATTTTTCTTGTTATGAATTATTTCCTTGCCATATTTTTAATTTTTCTTAATCTGAAAACATAATATTTGTATTCAAACTGTTCTGCTTTATACGTAGCTTAGTCCCGTTTAAATTTACTAAGAAGCTCCATTTTAAACTCTCATTTCATTTCTCATAAATTTTATCATTGTTATGTTGTATAAACCGTATTTGTAATATTTTTTCTTTAATCTAAATTGATAACGCATAAAATTATTAAAAAAATAAATACGATTGTATTATTTTTCTAATAATAAATTTCGATAAATATCACATAAATTTGTTAACATATATCAAATATATATTTTCTTTTTCTAATTTTATATAATCTGAAATTGTGATATTTCATATGAAAAATCATTTATTTATCTATTTAATAGCTCGTTGGTTGTCATATTAACTGTCATTATATAGATTAATATATATTTATGTATAATTTATTTTTGTCGTTTGGATTATAAATTGAAAACAAAAAATAATTTATAAATTATGGTATTTATTTGTGTGTATTTCTTTTTTATTTGATTTTGAAAAATTTGATACAAATTTTCTGCAGAATATATATTGTAGAAATATATGTCGAAGATGTCTTTTATTTCTTAATTTTCTTTAATTTAAAATAATATTATTTTAGGTATTTTTTTTTAATTCATCGAATTGTTCCATTTTGGGCAGTCTTAATAACATTTGTCATATATTATTTTATATAAGTATATATAGTTTTTGAGAGGGTATTTATTTCAATGAATTTTGGAAAATATGACAAGATAATATTGATATTGGGTTATGTACAAAGAAAATAGGTTTCATTTTATTTTTTTTTAAATTGAAATTTTCGGATTTTTTTTGTAATCCGATTTTGCCGGATTAAGTTAATTCGGCTATTGGACATACCTGGCCGAGATAGAGGAAGCCATGCTTGGCAGCCAATGAGGCCGGATCTCCTGAGGGGATCCTTACGGCGAACTGGTTCGTGAAGACGGCAGCGCTCACCGCGGCTGACGCGAGCACGACCAACATCGGCCACATCATTGTCACGACTAACGCCCCACCCCGCCGCGCTCCCTTATATACACTAACCCCCACTCCTCCGCCCCACTCCAACCCTTTCGGTTCCTCACTTATAGTTTTGTGATATAATTTATTATTATTTAAATATATACTGTTTCATCCTATTAATATACAAAATATTAGATAACATGATAAAGGATCATATTCCAATTCATGAGTATTGTTACTTTCACTTACCTATATATACATATAGAATATATTGAATAGAATAGAATAGTATAGTATAGAATAGAATAGAAAACTAATTTTACTCAGGGACAAAGTGTGATATGATCGATAGCGTACTTCCTGAATTTTTGCAATAAATCGAAGAAATATTCCAATGTAAAAAAATATCATAAACAACTAATAGAACTCAACATTGAAGATATGAAATTCCGTAAATTAAAAAAAAAAAAACATAGTTTAAAATCGCGATATCTCTACTAATAGTGCTTTGATTTCTATGAAACTTCCTTCATATTTTAGGAACTTTAAATACCTTTCAAACATCTTACAATATCGACAAAAAAAAAGTATACTTTTTGAGTTATTTGGAATTTAATTTTACCATCCCTCTTAACTTTTTTTCAGCTTCTTTTCGTTGAAGTATGTTACATAGATAAATTTAAAGAGCGTCGAGGAAATGAGTTTAGCGAAGTTTCATTGAAATTGGTACATTCGTTTAGGCGCTACAATCAATATCAAAGCAGGTTTTTCGGCCTCCATTTTGAAAGTAAAAGGCGGATAGTAATGTGGATGAAGAAAAATCATCCTTGGGTGAGCTCTGATTTTATATCTAAATTTGAAAAAAAAATCGGTCCTGTAGTTTCGGGGAAAATACGCGGACGGACAAACAAATTTTTATTCGTTTTTCGAATTCTACGTAACCTGAAACTTTTTGGATTTTTTGGTCGAACACAAAGGTTCATTATTGAAAATGATAAACCAGGAGGTTAATAAATGCTTTACCGAAATCAGTGAAACATAAAGCTGCAAATATTTTCTTTTTTTAAGAAAAGTAAATATTTATGTAACAATCAACATTTGGTTTTCTTCAAGGGTTTTTAGGGCATCTAAAAGCAAAAAAACAAAACAAATTTACTTGCCTTACAACTGTTCCCAACCCGCTTCTTAGCAAAAAAAAAACAATCACCTTTGATATACAAAATTATCTACGTAAACAATTAATCACTGCTTAATTAACAACTAATGTTTAACTTATAACGAAAAAAATAAATCATTGCTATATCTGTACATATATAACAACAATTAATCTAATAAATCGAATAAAAATAGTTATTTTTGCCCGTTAAAAAATAATGACGGTCTCTACTTGCGTTAATGTCGCGCGATGGCAGACGCTATGTTGCGAAATATGTGCAGACCTATGCTCTCCGCATTTTTCACGTTAAACCTATCGGTTATTCCTTATAATTTCGCTAATATGGCGGTCTCAACCGTCACCTGGTACAACTTCGGCGACTTAGTTATAGTTCTAAAAGTTTTAACTGAAAAGATTTTAGTATACACATGTTAAACAGTCTGGCTGTATCGTTCAACTGAGATGCGTTAGTCCAAATGGACCTAACTTGGTAAATGTAAGTGATGAGTTTCTGTTTTATTTTTAATTTTCTACCCCCATGCCAGACTGAAACGACTAGAAACCGCCCGACGTTTCCGACTACTGTAGCACTTACTAGACAAACGATCTAAGCTTGCAATCAATTATAAACGATTCATGTATATGACAATAATAAGACCTATTTGGACTTACGGAATTGAGCTTTGGGGCTCCACTAAACCATCGAATTCCTCTCGTATCCAATCCTTACAATCCAAAATCCTTCGTAAAATCCTCAACGCTTCTTACTTTGTCACAAATAAAATCATCCATAAAGACCTTAATGTTCCATATGTTTCCGATTTGGTCCAATCCAGATACCTGTCCTTCCACAACAAACTGCAGAACCATTCGAATCCTCTCGTTTCAAACCTTGCTTCCTCCTCGATCCCTGATAACCCTCCGAGGCATCTGAAAAGAAGATGGCTTCGGGATCTTTTAATGTAGGACTTTAATTTGAGTTCTACCAATGGGTAGATTCTCTTCATGTTGTACATGTCATGTTACCAATTTCACATTTACTTATTGTATTTTCTATGTAATACAGTTGTAAATTCCATTAAAATAATTTTAAAAAATTTAATTTTCTATGTCAGATTAGTAATCGTTTTTTGAAGTTTAATGATTTTTTTTTGTAGATATGTGAGCACCATTTTGTCAATTATCTGCCAAAGATTTCTCACTTTATTTGTTTGATGAATTCATACATTGTCTAAGTAATCCGAAGAGCAATGTCGGTGTTGAAAGTGATGTTTTGAAATGTGTCTTGCTTGGGCATTAATTTTGCTAAAATAATTACAATTGGCCTCATTTTTGTAGTTTTTCGTGCAGTATAACTGTAAGAGATACACAAATACATTTTCTTTTAAAATATTAAAAATTTGATGTACAATATATCAATACATTATTTTTTCTGTACATTGAATATGTATTTCAATATAGTTGAAAAACAAATTTTGGGTTAATTATTTTCAATATTCAACATTTGCACTCAATGAAAATTATTAACCAATGTCTACAAAGGTTGAAAATTGAAAATAATTAACTAATGACAGCAAAGGTTGATTATAATCTTGCTTAGTTGATTGTAAACAAAATATAAATAAAGCTGATTATAAAAAACACCTTTTTTTTTAAGATTTACTTATTTTAAGTGTACATGCGGTAGCCATGGATAACATACTAATTGGTAGTACAACTATAATTGAAAGTTGTCTGAAACATCTCTGAGCATAAGTAGATCGATGGAAAATCTCCTATAAAATTTTTACATATATCTTATATAGGGCTTTCCCAATCAAACCTTATAATATTACAACTATCTGATAATTAAAATAAGTTTTTAATGATTTTAAAATAAAAATAAACTATTGGAATTCATCATATAATGTCATTGACTGACAAAACCAAGGACTACCGATGTAGACTACCAGACTATTTGAGAACATTATATCACAAGTGATAATGAGATATCGTAGCCTTTGGCGGAACTGTTTTTGATAAAGTCTCTAACATTTGCCTTATCTTTTCCACTGAACAAATGAACCTTAAAAGATCGTCTGTTGAAAATAATGATACATATAAGTAAAATGCTTATTGGAGACCCTTTAAGTGTACATTTACACTCTTTTTATCGAAATGATATATATATTATTTTTCTTTTACTCTTTGTGTATTCACTCAAACCTATCAGAAGTGCTGTCAAGAAGTCGAATAGTAAGAGATCGATAGGGGCAAGGGAGAGCCCAGTAGCATCCCTTTCGATCTTGATTTGTGTATTATCATTAATATTTATTTTACGAGCCACTTAATCCATTTTATTTTGAGCCTCCTAAGAGTATTATCGGTCAGGCTAATTGTGTTCGAACCGTTTATGATAGTGCTAGTATTTCTGTGTATTTTAAGTGATCTTATTTACAAACTGACCCCTTAGAGAATTTTTATTATTTTCGGAATTCTGCTTCTTCCTCACCATATACTTAAAAACTCGAAAGCCCTCGTTCATCCATGTTTCGTAATGATTATTATTAATTGTTTTATTCGTAGCAGTCATTATTTCATATGTCTTAAATGAAAATAGAGAAAATTGACATAGGTTAATTTAGAAATATACAGGTATAGTAGATTTTAATATGTTATATTTCCTATTTCTGAAGGTTATCTTTAAATTGTTGAAAATAATAACATTTGAAGTATTAAATTTTTGTCTCATTAAGATTATTTTTAATATTAGCAAAAAAAACCCACGTTCACTTTAAGTACACAAGGAGATAATTATTCTATATTATTCGTGACAAACAGAGATACTAATTAGGACTCGTTAAAAACAAAAAATGAAATATTAAGTATTTTATTGGACTTTATGTTTAATTAAGTCTTTTAAATGAGCTTAGGTGATGATTTTTTCATCTTAAGAAGCAGGCAGAAGAAACAGTAATAAGTTTTAATTTGTCTGTAATTCTGAAAGCTTAGACTTGAAAGTATTGTAATTAATAACTCGGGTCAAAAATGTTAGGTGCTGTATCTATCAGTATATCCGAGAGGCATAACTGAATTAAAATATCTATGATCTGTATTATAAGAGCGCTTTGTTTGTTTTCAATAATTCTGACTTTAGCGTGTACAACACCATATTAATTAAGTAAACTTGTAACGGGATATTTCTGGAAATGATGTCTATTGATAATTTCAAATAAATGTTATGTTTCAATTGAATATACAAGGGCAGGTATAGGTGTGATACCCATTATATTTAATTAACTTAAAAATATTATATATTCTTATAGATCAGGCAGCCATATTACTCCGCACAGACATTCTTCCACCATTAATAATGGACCAATCAAAACAGCTCATGGTCACTCAAGTGACAGATGAATATGATCCTCCACCAATTCGCCATTCTAATGCAGAAAATGACCGCAACAATACGAGACCTCAGGAACCAGGGATCCAACAAAGCTGGAATGAGATGCTTCAATGTCCTAAACTTCAACTCTTGCAGCCGAACCTCGAAGAAAGAAGACATAGAGATTCTCCTCTCTCTAACTCAGCCCTGTATTGCAGTCTTCACAGATACCAGAACACGGAGACCCCCGCCCCACTTTCGAGGATATGCCGTAGTCACGGATATTGGATACATCGTATAAGTTATGTCACCATAAAAGTGCTCACGGGTCAGCCAACCTGTATTTATCACAGCTGTTTCCATTGACCTTCCTTTAAACAGTTGTAAAATGTTTGGAATAGTTGAAAAAACTGTTCATTCATTCCCGAGATATAACAAGGAAAGTTAATGGATAGTACTTTACGAACAGTAGACGTTCTGGACAGTGGCTCGACAATGAAGAAGCAG